ATATGAAAGGTCTCGTTGAGAGTAAGGTACCTGTCTAGGAGTAGCAGGGCACATAGCATATTAAAATTCCGGCTAAAACTTTACCAGTTCTGTTTGGGAAGGCCCGCTGAGTTGGTATTCCCTTCAGGAGATGTAGTAGATTGCCAGCAGGTTGACCACCGGGCTGAGCAGCATTAGATAAGATGCCACAGTTGGATAGTTGGTGAACGACTATTTGAGCTATAGCTGAGCCAAGTGTTCCAAATATAAGTATTTGTTAGTGAATTTTTGAATTCATGCTTGATCACCATTGTTGTGATACAGGGTTTTATTCGCCGTTGTTTAGGTCTGGGGTACCGCTGCAGTGCAGGTGTTTTATTCATTGTTATGTTGTACCGGTGGTTTGATGACACTTGCAAGCTACAACAAATTTCATAACAACGTTTTCAAGTACGTTATCTGTCCTCTTTGGCATGGTTTTGCCTGACAAGTGAGAGTATTTCGGTAACATAACTGTTAGTGGGGGACCCCACACTAATTGTCCAGCCGGTCTTGGTTTTCATGGTTTTTGCTCAGTTATTTCGTTATCTGAATCCAAAATAGCTTGAAATTTTGAAGAAACTATAGGATGATACCAGATTTTTTTAGACAAACTTTAGAAGTAAAAATTATTTGTAGGGATGCCTGGTTTTTATGCTTTGTTGATATCATCACGTCAGTGCTTTGTGCGGCGCTAATATTTTCGGCTGTCGGCTTTCTCTGCTATGAATTGGAGCTTCCGCTCGAGAAATTCAACTTCAAAGGTTCTTTTTTTTGCATAATTTAGAAAGTTTTAAGTTCCACAATTTTCCGGATGTTTTTTTCAGTTGTTTTTTCGCTTTGGCTTGCGGTCGTTCCGCAGTCGATTTAATCAGAATTATTTTGCCATTACTGGACTGGTGATCCTAAAATTCCTTTTTAGCTTCTTTCGTCTAGCTGGGGGTGTTTTATATACTTTATGTAGTATTCACTACATAGTACACGTGGTTTGTATAAATTGCCATCATCCTAGTCTTCCTTTTGGTCGGCACTTTGATTCTGAAACGAAAATATTCATAACAAATGCTTAGCTGTAAACAATAATCTCAAATCTCATTACAGAAACACTTGGACAATCAATGGACTAATTTTTAATGTTTTTGGTCTAAAGATCATTGATTGTTGCTACTTATGGCATTGAAAAGGTTTACAAAATGAGCAGTGATAGTGTTCCTTGGCAAGTAATTCTAACTACAACTCGTGCAGCGGAAAAAAAAATTCTTGAGCGATTTTGCAGGTGGTGTGCAGCTTGTATTCATTTATTTGCCGGAAGCAATTGCGAAATTGCCAGTTGCACCAATCTATTCCATTTTGTATTTTGTGATGGTCATATCAATCATCCTTACAACTACGGTAAGCCTTTTTAACCAGCAC